GGGGGGGGCAAGGGGAAAGAATAGCCAATTCCAGTTGAGAATAGAAATGAGAGAAGAACACAAACTGGAAAACAGACAAAATAGATCCAGGGAAAACACTGTTATCATAATATATAATATCTTTGTAAGGGGAAGAAAAATTGACGGAGCATATGGGGTAAATAAAATTTTAAGCAGTAATTGTGAAATGTATTCTGTATTTTCAAAGCACAGACCTGTATAATCGTTTTCAATTTTGAAAGAAATAGTTTCAATGGATCTTGTTTAGATCACTTAACATTACATAAAAAGTATAAAACCTTATAAGAAAGACAGAAAAGGGTAAGGTTAAAAAAAATTTCCCCACCCCGCTTCTTTGAAGACAGCATCAATAGGCTAAGCATGATAATAGTTTGGAACGTCATCCAACGTGAGAGCAGAGAGCACATATACAGTAAACGCAATACATGAATAATTTGTTTTGAGATTTGCTGTGTCCTAGCACTTATAATACATAATGTGTAAGCGCACAACAACCCTCTTGAACACATGTACATGGATGAACCGTACATACAAAAACACCCACCTACACACATACACAGATAGCCTGCAGAGAATAAAGTACACGACTTTTGTACATATGCACACATATAACCATCACAGACATACATACATGAGTACACTTCGGTGACGCATATGCACGCAAAAATACTCACATAAACAGATGCCCAACCAATTTTTTTAAAGGGGGGAGAAAACCTGAAAAACTTCACAACAAACTCACACACAAAAGTTTACTGAAATGTAATTAAATTGAGATTCACAGGCAGCAAAATTGTTGAAATATGAAAGTTACCATTCTAACTAATAAAGCATGTATAAAAGAGTTTAGACCATAAACTTTATATAACATGACATTTCTTGACAAAATCGAGCTCACAAGAAACATAAGGAAAAAACGTTTGAACGTAGACTAAACAACATCAATGGCTCTTTCGTTAGACGAGGGTTTATAGATCCTAGCACTCCCTCCTCTGCTGTAGTTGCTGGAGTCTAACATTGTTACAGATCCTTTTTCGAAACCCGTCGTCAGCAGAGTGTTTACCGTGCGTGTCTTGGGCGTGGAGATATCAACTATGATATCCACATCATCCAATTCGTCTGCAATAGAAACGTAAGATGTCGGTCTGTTTCCACCATCAAGGTCAACATCTTCTCCCGGAGTAGACATACCGGAAGTTTCCAGCAAAGGTGTGGTTGACGAGTTAGGATCGTTTAAAGTCGTTCCGTTGTTTCCGGTTCCGCTCTCGTTTCCGTTTCCGTCAACAGAAGACACAGTAGTCTCGTCGGGGTCTGGGAGTCCCGTCCATTCCTTGATTCCGTCTTTGATGGGGATGATGTCGTAGACAGTCCAAGACTGGCGGTAGTTGTTGATAGCTTTGTGGAACTCGGTTTTGAACTGAATGCTGCTGGTGTCAATGTCATCTACTCCCGAACTCGCCGTGAAGATATACCTGCGGGTAAGTTTAATATAAGATGGCTATAGGGGATAGGTAGAAAAATACAATACTTTAGTCACTTAAAGCGACAAGAGACTATTGTGAAAGTGGTGCTTGAAGGATGGATGTGGGACAGGAGAGCCAGTGAAAGACAAGGAGTAACAAAGATGGACAACATAAAAACATAGATTGGCCTGGATATTGCAGAAAGTGCAACAGCAGGATGAAGGGTAATTACACGTCAACCTCTGAGTCAGAGATGACACCTCCAGGTATTCCAGGTATAAGGGATAAAGGTCAGGATTATGGTCCTACTGTGGTTGAATAAAAGGGGCTTCTCAAGAACAGAATCGGCATGAGTGCATTGTTCTCTCAGGTACATTTGTTTACCTCTAGTTCTTTTCTAACTAAACTATAGTAAACCAATTGTAACCTACAACATTGGAAAATACAACACAGAAAACTTTAAAGGCATGTTTTACTGTTCCCAGCAATCAAATATCTAGCCTCCGTCTGTCCGTATGTCCGTATGTCCGTATGTCCGTATGTCCGTATGCCCGTACTGCGTACAGTATGTCCGTTTGTCCGTATGTCCGTATGTACATATATACTACGTATGTACTACGTATGTACTATGTATGTACGTATGTACTACGTATGTACGTACGTACGTACAATATCCAGCCTCCGTCTGTCCGTATGTCCGTATGTCCGTACAGTATGTCCGTATGTCCGTATGTCCGTATGTCCGTATGTACTACGTATGTACTACGTATGTACTACGTATGTACTACGTATGTACTACGTATGTACTACGTATGTACGTATGTACGTATGTACGTATGTACGTATGTACGTATGTACGTATGTACGTATGTACGTATGTACGTATGTATGTACGTATGTATGTATGTATGTATGTATGTATGTATGTATGTATGTATGTATGTATGTATGTATGTAT